CTCCTTCCTTTGAGCCTCAATTTTTTTCAAAATATTCGACATACACAACTCTCAAAATTTTCAATTCTTTCATTTTTTACCTGAATTCGTGTCATGCATTTTCTTCTTATCTTCAAACATCTCGATTATTGGAAGATCACAAGCAAACATAATAAAATGGTTGAAAGACTAGATGATGTTATTTACCAATGAATCACACTTAGTTCTTGTAGGAAAAAAAGTTCTCGCCCACTGATGCTCGGGAATATCAACCAACAACTCAAAGGCATTTTTCGATTCATTCATCTTTAGATTGCACTCCAAGATCTCTTTCATTGTACGTTTGTGCTCGTTTACATTGTAAGTCGAGGTAGCTTTCCAAAACAACCTTTTCAATTCCAAACCCTTATACTTTTTTTTGAAGTTATCGTACATATGTCACAAACAGAAACGGTGCTCGGCATTTGGTGCATGCGTAGCCACAGCCTCAATCAGACCTTTCTCTCGATCAGATAAAAAAGACCACTAGTCATCATGGGCATCTCCAATATCTCGAAACAACAAGTTCAAGAACCAATCCCAAGTATCAAATTTTTTGACCTCCACAAACGCCATAGCAATCAGGTAAATATTGTTATTCCCATCCATTCTGATCGGTGTTAAGAGATGACCCTTATATAGTCCTCCTAAAAAACAACCATCAAGTCCAATTATTGGCCTACACCCCACTTGAAATCCATTTGATAGTAGTTTCAAACATAAATACATCCTCCGAAGCACCGACGGAGATAGTTCCCGATCAACTTTCAAAATAGCTGAAGTAGTAGGATTGTGTTTCCAAACTATCTCACAGTAGTCATACAGTCGATTATACTGCTCTTTGATATCACCCTTTAACAGCTCTATTGCATGTTGCTTTGCTCGGTACACCTTGTGTGTGCTATCTCTTCTGATTTTCCTTCGCAAAGATTCTAAAGACTCCGCAAGATTATCTTTCACATAATTCTTAATCCTTGTGCCCAGATACCTAATGGAATAAACCAAAACAACATGCACTAAAATCATAATAATAAGATCTTCGGAATAATATTTAATAGGAGTAGCATAAAATTCTAATACCACACAATAAGTTGAACTCATATAAAAATAAGATCAACACCCTACGGATCAGACTACAAAAACAACAGCATAACCTTAAAAATCAGACTGTAAAAATAAGATCAAAAACATAAATCATAACATACTATAAAAGTTAGAACATAACCATAAATCAGACGATAAATATCATATCAAAACACTATAAACACATAAAAAGCAACTAGAAAATACATTTAAAATAGTTATCGAAATTCAGTTTGTGAGTTTATTGTCATATGTGCACATGTGTGCCATTTAGTTTTTTTTTTTTTTTTTTTATCTAAAATGTGGTCTCTCTTGTGATTGAAGAAGTCCGAATAAACCATCCTCAACCTTTTTTGCAAGTAGCAGCCACGACATGCTTTTCTTTCCTAGGATACTTCAAGTCCCACCCTTTTCTAACAGCTCACTCCTTTAAAGCTTCATTGAATTTCTCCATATTTGGAAATTTTGTCCCTACGTCGAGATCATTTGTACCCATATCCATGTTTTCATCTCATTCGGTATAACGAGGCCCCTCGGCTTCTTCATCAAACACCAATTGTGACATACATATCAACTAATGTCCAATAATTAAACGTATCATTGTCAATGTTTTCGAACTTAACTTTTCTACCTTCCATGTACTTACCAAATGGATACCAAATTAAATATTCATCTACCCATAAATAGACATCTAGAGAATCACTACAAGAAAAAATCATTTTTGTAACAAAATATTTTTGTCTCTAAATCTATTTTTTTCGTTACTAATGACATTAGAGACGGAAATAGGAATGAAATTACGCTAGCTACGTGAACTTTAGGGACGAAATTCCGTTACAAATATATTATTTTTTTGTAGTGAATCCACCACCCACTACCTGCATGACCCACAACAATATTAAAAGCAAAAATGTCAATAAAGTAGTAGCTAAACCCTATATTCACGAATAAAGACAAAAATAACTTTCAATATAATACTGAAAAAGACATAACACATGGGCAAACATAACAATCATAACCCATGTGGAACTAAAGTACAAAATTAACATTTTTAAACTATCAACATATAGCCCAAGAAGAACTTACGAGTCCCGAACATAAAAATAAATCACGCACACACTACAAAAAAATACTCCCTCCGGCCACAAAATAAGTATACATTTACTTTTGGCGCAGAGATTAAGAAATAATAGTATTTTAATTATAGTGGGTAGGTAAAATTAGTGAAATGATATTTTTGCCCTTACTTTTTTAGTATAAAAGTAATGATGTGATGTAAAGTAGGGGTATTTGTGGAAAAAATGAGGTATTTAATGAAATAGTTACTTGTAATTGGACGTCCAAAAATAGAAACATGTATACTTTCTAGCTGGACGGAGGGAGTAGTATATTTGTAACGGAATTCCGTTCCTAAAGTTCACGTAGCTAACATAATTTCATCACTAATTTCGTCTCTAATATCATTAGTAACGGAAAAAGTGGATTTAAGAACAAAAAAATCTCGTTACAAAATTGATATTTTTTTGTAGTGACAACTTTATTGAAAGTATAACAATCCATAACCAATACGGGGCCTAAAAGTATTGTTGAATTGAAATTATTGACTACAAGTTCTCAAATCCAAATGAAAATAAGAACCATTTCATTCATGACGAACAACATATCGCGGTAACAAAAACAATGCTGGATTGTATCAATTGATTCTTACCCGAAACTGTTCGTCGGCGGACAAGGAGAATGGACTGTAAATGGCTAACTTCATAGATGGATGAACAAGGAATCGAACGCACAACGAAGTTGGATTTCTGTCAAATCCCTAATCGGTCAAGCTAGATTGAATCGGATTTGGGCGTATTTGTTTTAATTTCATAATATAAAAAATAATAAAAAAATAAAATTTAAGTTTGTAAAGTGTAAAATGGTCATTCCTTATTTTTATTTAACGCTGTTAGTTTTAACGGGGCATGAGCATGTATTTTAAAACACAAGTGATTTTTAAAGGGTTTAACTAACATTGGGGATTTTATGCAAATATTTGATAACACAGGTGTAAGCGGCGCAATTTTTACCCTTTAAAATTTTAAGGCAAAATTGTTCATAACTCTTTTGTGGTTTCGAAACTCAGCATATATTCTCCATTTACTTTAAAAATTGCATAGCGTTTACTGTAAACAATGTTGCATGAAACTCCTATGTGGTGTCAAAATTCAGCGTAAATCCTCAATTTAATTTAAAAATTAAAATGCATGGAGCCCCTCTTATACTTTAAAAAATATTGTATGAAACCCCCGCCATGCAAAACATATAAATAGAAAATCATTTTCTCAACACACAAGGAAGGTTTCATGGTGTGAGATTTCATGCAACGTTTTTTAAAGTATAAGGAGGTGCCATGCAATTTTTAAAGTATATGAAAATTTTAAGTTGAATTTGGAAACCACAAATGAATTATGAACAATTTTACCAAATTTTAATTATTATGTAAGTGCAATACATATAATATATTTTCATTTATTTTATTAATAAAAAAATAATAATTTTATCTTTATCAAATACTATTATAAGAATATAATATGATTGAAAAAAATATCAATTTCTTTTAACTATATGAAATATTTAATTTTGTGAAAAATATAAAAACTTAGAAATTTCTTTTTATATGAATGTAAAATTTAATTCGAGTACTTCGTCACGTGAAAATAAAAAGAAAAAATAAAAAAAAAACAAACAAACAGCATAACATATGAGAGAGAGTGCGAAGAAACCCAAGGTGGGATACCCCCTTTTGGGTATCCTACTAATTAGTATCATACTCGATTGTGGTCGGTTGTGTGGTCAGTTGTGGGTGTCCTACTAACTAGTATCATCTGTGCACAAGTAACCAAATATTTTCTTTGTCTCATCTTTATTGACATTATTTTCGTAACAATACTTAATAAATATAATACTTCTTTCGTCCCTTAAAAATATTTTAATTTAAACTGTGTCGTAACAAAATATTCATTTCTCTTTTTAATAACTGTACTATCTACTAACATTACAAATATCTTTAGGGGGTGTTTGGTACGGAAAAAGGAAAATGTCTCCATTTCTCTTATTTGGTTGAAACAGAGAATTAGAATTCGAAAATAAACCTGGAGAGAAATAAAATTAAAAGAATGCAATGTGTTTATATATTTATTTTATTATATTATATTTAACTTTTACGATTTAATTTAATTTTTTTTTATTTTTCTTCTTATTATTATTTAATTTTTATATTATTCAAATCTCATAAAATATCATATCTAAATTATTATTAAAATAAATTATCAAACTAAAAAATACAATAATATTTTTCTCATCTAATTTATCATTTCTTAATGACTGTATTTTTTCAATTAGTATATTCTATTTATGCGTTTGTTTTTTTTTTTTTATATATATTTCTCAACTATTCTCTATTTTACCCAAAAAAAAAAAAAAAAAAAAAAACAGTTCTCATTTTCTACTGAATTCTTCTTTTTGTGCAATTTTATTCTCTGGATCAAACCCACATTTACAACTTACAACATATTATATAAATATCATTAAGTTTATATCATACAATACTATTATTTAGTTAATTTAACTTTATTCCATATTGATATAATACTAATATACCTTACACTCAGCAAAAAAACAAATTGATGTATTATGTGAAACTCACTCAAAATTATCTTTATTTTTATTTACATTTAAAATTCTATATTTTTTATAAATTTATTTATATTAATTATAAATAAATAAATTTATTTTCTTATTCACTTGTATTATAAAAAAAAATTATTTATTACAATATAATATTTAAATACCTATTATAATTTATTATTATTAAGTAATTAAGAATTATTATTGAGTGAGGGAGTATTTTATTTACATACAATTTTCATTTTATTTAGAGAAAACACAAGAAAAGTAACGGAGGAACACAGGAATCCAGGAAGACTGATCTCATCCTCCCCATTGAAGGAGGTAGGGATGTACTGAGAAAGTACAAGAATAGACTATAGAGTATTCGTTCTGTTGCTCTGCCATCAGAAGGGAATGGATATGCTGAGTTATTTCATAGTCCACGAGGAGGACCTCAAAGCCCTTGCGCAATGTCCCAAAACATCATGTGGCAGCAACAACAAGTCACAACATCAACTTCCACTTCACATAATCACACAAACGCACGCGAAAAACAGAAAAGCAAATCTCACTAGATATCTACAGCGCATTCGCGTCTAGCACCATTAACTAATGCACAATCACAGTGAGAAAAATACATCGAGAATCAATGATAGACGGGAAGAGAATAAGTAAGAGAAGCACACACAATATTTCAACTTTACCACTAAAACCAATCAGGAAGAGGAAGAATGTCCTTTGAGGCGGCGGAAAGAAACGCATCGGTACCGCTAGGGTTAAGTTTCTCTGTCTCCCTCCCTCCCTCCTCAACTCTGAATCTCTGTATATTTTAATTTTATACTAGACGGGAAGGGAGGGATACAATAGTCATTTCACCAATAACAAACCAACCTATATTTATTATTCATTTTCATTTTCATTTTCCTTTTCCTTTTCCTTTTCCTTTTCCTATAAACAAACACAAGCACATAAGAGACAACTCGCAATCTATCTACCTACACTTGACATTGTCTATATTCATTCTTTCATACATACATATAATAAAATGCACCAGTGTTTTTCATGGATTATGTTATGTAATGTAATGATATTATGGCACAAACGAACAAACACACACACTAGTGTCAAAATTGATTGAAGATACCTGCTGCAGATTCCATTGCCATGATCATTCATCCCCTTCACCTTCACCTTGCATTGAGTAACATCCGCAGAACGCTCTTCATCTTCGGCCTCAGGTCGGGGGTGACGCTAACACAAGCTAAGGCAACCTTAAGAACCGCCAACATCTGGCTTCTAACACTCGCCGACGTCCTGCTAATGCTACTGTCAAGAATTTGATCCCATTTGCTTTGTTTGCTTTGCACCCATTTTGCCAGCTCAGTCCCTCCGTTCACCGCTTCCTTACCCGTCAGCAGCTCCAGCAGAAGCACGCCAAAGCTGTACACATTCCCGGCTGCTGTCACTCTCATCGTGTATGCGTATTCTGAAACACCAGAACCGAACATGATCAAGTAATGCTCAAGTAAAAGTAAGTGGTGAAACTGAAAGACTCTCAAGAAAGTACCTGGTGGGACATAACCAACCGAGCCGGCAATAGCAGAGAGGTTGCCGGTGCTCTTGGAAGGATCAATGACCTTGCACAGCTCAATGTCGCCGATTTGAGGCTCTGTGAGGGACTTCAACCAGATGCTTCTGCTGGAAAGGTCAAGGAGAAGTATTGGTCCGGAGCTGCACTCATGGAGGGAGGCCAAACCTTGAGATATTCCGATAGTAATGCTGTATCGGCTAGCCCAATCCAACAGACCATCTGTTCTATTATGAAGAACTTCAGAAAGGGTGCCTTTCGCGGCAAATTCGTAGAACAGATAAGCGCTGTCGACTGTCAGAACATACGCAAGCGGGATCATAACATTAGAATTGCAGAGCTTCCCATAAACTTGCAGCTCCTCTCCAAGTCGTTCGTGGCTGCCCGATTGGAATATTTTGTCGCTCCAATTGAGCTGCTTGACGAAGTAAGTGGTGCCCGACTGCATTACAGCTTTGTAGTAGGTCGAGAATCTGGTCTTTGATCTTATATTCGCTCTGTTCGCCACAGCTTCCATTGCTTTCTCAAAATCTATATTGGACCGGTGGATGCTGTTTAGAGTCAAAAAGTTTCCATGGACAACTTGCGGTGGAGCTATTTCTTCTTCCAAATGGAGATGTTCGTCGTTGACCCTGTGGTACTTTCTTAGAATCATCACAGCTATCGCTACGACTAAACCAACCGCAATTGCAGGACTTGCGACTGCAATGGAAACAACCCAAGGAAGTGATATCTTCTTTCTTTTCGATGCCCGGCCATGATTTTGTCCATCATATTTTGGTCTGACTGAAACATTATTACCCTCTATTTCAAGATCCACAAAGTGTGCAAAGTCCGGGGCAACCCCAGACAGCTGATTGTTTGATAGAACTAATCGATTTAAGCTGGCCATTGATGCCAAGAACCCCGGTATCTCACCCGAAAATCGATTGTTGGAAAGGTCCAAGACTTCCAAATTCTGCAGTGCAGATAAAGAATCTGGAATTCCTCCACTAAACAGATTGTGGCTGAGATTCAAAGCACCTTGCAGTGTATACGACATTCGGGGTATTCGGCCGCTAAGTCGATTCTCTCCTAGCTGGAGCTCCAGCAGAGAAGACAAGCTTCCAATAGAATCAGGTATAGAACCGCTAAGCTCATTGCTTTGCAAATGCAAGTACTGAAGGCTCTTCAAAGTTGAAATCGATGCAGGTATCACGCCTTCGAGCGAGTTCCTGCTCAAATTCAGCTTCAACAATCGATCCAATTTCATAATATTCGGTGGGATATGTCCAGTGAAATCATTTATCTGAAGAAACAAGCCCTGGAGATTCGTCAGATCGCCCAACACCGGAGGCAGCTGGCCGGATAACCTGTTCTGTGCTAAGTTCAACAGAGCCAAACTCCTGCACATACCCAATTCAGAAGGTATCGGCCCCGACAAGCTGTTGCCATTCAACTCCAGGTACATCAAGTCAACGAGGCTTCTGAATGATCCTGCCGGAAGGCGACCATTAAGAAAGTTATTACCCAACCTCAACCTGAACAACCTCCTGGAAATATTCACAGGTATTGGCCCTGTAAGATGATTGTCTGTAAGGTCAATGGAGCGCAAATTCGAGCCGGAGAGAAGATCATATGGAATTTCCCCTGCCAAACCATTGAAGCTGAGATCCAGCGTTTGGAGATATGTAGTAATTCCGGACGGTATCTTCCCAGTAAAGTTGTTTTGATACGCTGCAAACCTCGACAGTGTGGTGATATTGGAAATTGTTGCAGGAATTTCACCATTCAATAGATTGAAGGACAGCAACAAGGTTTCCAGTGCGGGGAGGGCGTCAATGTTTCCAGGAACAGAGCCTGAAACCATGTTTGTACTGAGATCGATCAGCTGCAGATTTCTGAGTTTCGTGATTTCTACAGGAATTGGACCTGAAAAAAGGTTGGAAGAAAGCTGAAGCTCCTCCAAAAGACTGAAATTCCCATGGCTAATAGGGAGACTTCCTGATAAATCATTGTGCGAGAGATTCAGGCTCTTGAGAGAATCCAATCCGCTCAACTGAGAATCGACCTCTCCGATAAGATTATTGAAAGAAATATCCAAGTGTTCCAACCTCTTGAATCCGCTGTACGGCTGCAGAGGACCGCCGAGGCTGTTTCTACTCAAGTTCAAAACCTTGAGGCCGGCGATGACTCGACAAGTAGGGGCGAAGAAGTCGGAAGGGATGGAATTGAGAGTGTTGTTGGAAACATCGAGAGACTCCAAGGAGGTGAGCGGACATAAGAGCGGGAGGAATTGAGAGGAGGAAATTGAGAGAGAATTGAAAGAGAGCTTAATTATGGTGGAATTGGAAGAGTTGCAGGAAACCCCTTGCCATGAACAGGGTGGGTGGGAGGCTTCGACCGCAACTCCTCCACGGACAATTCGATAAACCCTAGTGAGAAGACTGACCTGATCGGAGGGCAGCGACGATTGAGGTTGAGGTTGAGATGATCCCAGGTGGAGGTAAAGCAGGAAGAGAAGCAGTTGAGCCAAGGTACACCACATCGCCATAATTTGTAAGAATATGCAATACAGATGGACAGTCCAGTCTCCAGGTATGGAGAATTATGTAGTTAGCGTTTCAGAAGAATTGAATTGAATTGAATTGGGGAAGGAGTGGAGATGGCGGTGCCTGGACTGGACTGGTGGATGCAGAGGAAGAGGAAGATGAAGAGAAAGAGAAAGAGAAAGGGAGTGTAGTGTGGAGCTGACTGACTCCAACCGTCTCCAAGTCTAGTCTGGAAAAGACTTTTTGGCGTGGAAACTGGAAACTACTCCGTCACTCGGTCACTCCCTCCTCTCTCTCTCTCTCTCTCTCTCTCTCCAAAAATTGTAATAATCATCGTGGAGCTGCTATCTCGTCATCGCGAAGTTAATAGTTCAAACTCCGATATTTTCGGATTCACTTGCTACGTATGATTAGTGTCTCAACTGAATTATCTTGTGATTTGTCTTATCAGTCTAGTATTAATTTTTGGGGTTTACCAAATACATACTATACAGATATTATCCTTAGAGATTTATAATTTTAAAAAGTATAAAAATGATAAATATTAATAATTAATACTACTACCTCGTTTTCATTGAAAAAATTGTTATTTTTTATTTTCGTTTCTCTCAAAACAAGGTTATCCTTTACTAATAATTAATTGTACTATCTAATTAACATAATAAATATTATTCCAAACTTATATTATATTACACAAATGTAATTATTTTTATATTACACAATATTATATTTTTTGTCTTTTTTACTATAACTCATTATAATACTAATATTCAAAAATCAACGTGCAAAAAGTAAACGACAACCTTGCACCGGGATGGAGGGAGTATAATATTTAGAATAATAAATATTTAATGATATACTTCCTCCGCCTTAAAATAATATTCTTTGTTTTGCATTTTTGTTCTTCTAAAAAATACAATAGTCTCATTTCTATTTTTGTCAACTATATTCCTACTTTTTCACAATAATTATATAAAGTATTGACAATATGATCTTTTATATAATATTATTATTTTTAAATTTTTGTGTCTATGTCAAATATTTTTATTGTTTTGAAACGGGGAGAATGTAATTTTTAAGAAAGAGAAATAGTAAGTAACAGTGACAATTAAAAAATATATATACATAATACAATTATTTTAATTTTATTATTTTAATATAAAATATTTATATTTATTTATTTTTTTATGAAATTGAATGCAAACTAGATTTTTGTCGATTTTATAATTTATAAACTAGGTCCAACAAAATAAATAACAGGGATCACCTGCAAATTAGATAATTTGTAAACTAAATCCGATAAACCAAATTATACTAATCTAATAATGTGCATTAAAAAATGTTTTGGATTCACACTTGTCAAAAGTAGATATGTAAGTGTAGTCATGAACAAGTTGTGTGTTATTCAATGTTATAGAATTTGAATATTTAAATAATATTAATATGATAATTTTGTACGAAAAAATATATAAAATTTAAGTAGTAAAGAAATCAGTAAAAGAAAAACACTTTAAAGAACTTTTTTAATTTGATATGTAATTTTTTATTTGAATTTTGTACTAAAATAATACTCCTTCGGTCCCAAAACTATAGTTTTATTTGGATTTCGCACAAGATTTAAAGAATATTGATATTATATTGATAGTTAATAAAAAAGATTGATAAAAGACTTTATTGCATTGTGAGTACATTAGTGTAAAAACAGTGGTATTTGTGTAATAATAATGAAAAATTAGAGATAATTTTACTGTGATATGAGTATTTATGGAAATGAGACTATTGTTTTGGGACGAACAAAAATAGTAAATAAGACTATTGTATTGGAACAAATGGAATATTTGATTAGATATTTTATAAAAAAATATATGTATGTATTATTTTTTTGAAAAATACAATTAAGTTGAAGTACTCCATCCGTCCCATTGAAAGGTTACTATTTTCTATTTCCGTCCGTCCCAAAACAAGGTTACCATTTCCTAATATAGTAATTGTACTACCTACCTAATATAATAAATACCCTTTCAACTTACATTATATTACATCATACTAATAGGGGTATTTTTATTTTTATACTAATATTTAAAAATCTATGTGAAAAAACAAAGATCTGGGAGGGATGGAAAGGATGGAGTATTAAAATTTGTAAAAAGAAAGACAGTAATGTTCGTGTTTTGTTGATGGTGGGGAAGGAAGACATTAAAAGCGTTGTGTTGACCGAGGAATTAGGAAGGATCATCGGTCATAGCCGTGTGTGTGTGTCTCTCTCTCTCAGACCAGTGATTAATCAATCAATCCTATTAATACTGTTAATATTGTTAATATGAAGGAATGATTTCCACAGGCAGTGCATTGCATTGCATTGCATTGCATTTGTCTCTTCCTTTTGTCATGAAAGAAAAACAAAACAAAACAAAGCATATTTAACAATAATAACTCTCAATTTCGAGCTTAAAAACATGTATTGTATGGATGTTTCATTTTTGTCTTGGATTTTTGGTTTTTATCCACGCCACACATAACATAGGCTGAGATGGCATCATGATAACATATGCATTCAATTCATCTATTTATTAATTTACTCGTAGGAATTCTTTTTTATGTGACCAACTATGAACTATATAATAAAAACTCTCTCTCTCCTCATATATGTATGTATGTATCTGTTCCATTCGTTGTCCCTTGTTATCTTAACAACAGCATAGTATAGTATAGTATAGTATAGTAATGTGTTGAATCAATCAGTCAGTCATCTTCATGCTGCTCTAACATCATTTAAGCTAAGCTAGAACTGGATTCTCAAGTTAGGATTTAGGGCCAGAGAACTGGATTCATCTTCATGTTTGCAAATTTGTGTTTCCAGTGGTTAAGTAAAGAGCCTGCCTGCCTGCCTGCTGTAGAGTGAGGTTTTATTTTTCAGTTCTTGTTTTCCCCTAAACCTTTTTAACAGATGTTCCCTAAAGTGGTGACCAAGCAATTTCCATACTTGCCAACAAGTGTGATTTTCCAAGGCTCAAAAATATCATGTCTCATGCATGGTATATATAGCTAACTACCTTAATCCAACAAGACATGAAAAACAGAAACATCATTGAGACAATCAATCAAGCAAACCAATAAAACACAGATAAAGAAAAAGAGCATCATAATGAAACAATGCTATATAAAAAGGTGTAGATAGACTTTGTAAGCATTAAGAAACAATGTTCCACCAGGTTTCAATGAAATCAATATTGTGAGTGTGACACACACACTATATAAGAAGCTTAATATTATGATCACATAATGAATGAACGTAAAAAATAAACGGTATCAGGATTTCTAGATTTTAATGTCAATGCTTCAATGCTATCTATTAGAAGCTAGTAAAACTGACCTTGCTTAGTTTGCATTGGCCCAATGGAAGAATGAATCCTATCCATCCTTTGCATTGAACTGTTAATTTACATTCTACACCAATCAAAAACGAAATGGGCGTTACTGTAGCCAAAAATATAGTACAAAAGAATGAGCCAGCTCCTGAAAGGTAGACAGCATCTATAGAACTACATCTGTTGAGGGTTCCTCCTCTTCTCTTGGGATCTGTGATGGTAGAGTTTGGCAATTTTTCGCCTCTCACAGTCCTAAAACACAGATAGTTTTATATTCAGAGATTAACCAATCTCTACCAAATTACTCGTGCTTGTGCAGGTGAAGGGGAAAAAAGAAAAAGTACAAATAAATAAATACAATAATGCACCTTGAACATATGCAGATAGAAGGGTTTATCAGGATTCATCCATCTCAATTTGTGGAATGTATAACCAAAACTTAGCTGGTCACGAGGTGTAAACCGATCAACCTCATTGAACCAGAGGCAGGAAAACAAATTTGACATTGGTGTATGAGCTCTTACTATGAAAGAGCCTTCTGGAACATCTGCCAAACGTAACATATTTTATATTTAGCAAAGAAACCAATAATAAAACCAAATAAGCTAAAATGAAATCAATAAAAAATCATACTGCTGGGCAGAAGCTTGTTCGGATCTGATGCACTGAATCTCTTCATTCCATCTGCTTGATAAAATGCAAATTGCTCTTCTATAATGGTATGATTGTATTTGTTAAGCTTCTTATTTTGTGCAACCTCTTCCCACAAACAATGCCGATCATAATGATTGGAAATAGCATATTCATAACCTTTCCTCCACAGGAAATATTCTAAGATAAGCATTGGATCAAGTTGCAAGCGAAGTTTACTATCCAGCCAAATTGAGTACCTGAAATAATATTGGCACAGTGTTGAAAAATGGATTGTAACAAGCACTCAAATAAAACAGGAAATAAATAACACAATAAGCACCACGCAGGTAACAAATCTTGATAAAGAAGAAGTGAGAAAGGGTGAGCACATGGATGTTTCAAAGTGGATCTCCAAGACAACTAGCTCTAATGACATGGTGAAAGCAAATTTTATCCAAAATAAATTTAGATTATTTACCCATTCATTATACAGGACCAAACTGTGGACAATAAACTTAAAACACATATTGCATTTGATAGACACATAGAAATCAGAAATGGGGAAAGGAGCAAAGTCATTTATCCACCACATGTAGAGATCATTATAAAGAAAACAAGTCATTCGTGAGTAATCAGCATTTTCTACCTGGCAGAAGAAAATAATCGATGTGCCAAAAATTTAGGAATCTTCCCTACTCTCCTCATATCAGAGAAAGGAAGATTCTTCACCACCACAATCTTCCACAACCCAACAAATCCCATCATATCTGGCATTTGACCCTCTGATGAAAGGGTTTGCAAAGTCACTTCATCGACAAACATGACAAAGCATACATTTTTCCTTGAAGAGCGCGAGACCTACAAAATTGAGATTTGGTGACAATTGTTGTTCTTATTAAACAATATAAGTGCATCGAACATCATTAATTAGTATAAAGAATTAGTACCATCTTTCCGACAGGTGATCGCAACCGATCAGAGTTCCCGAATATGCAAGACATAACAGCAATGTGGCAGCTACTAATGTATTTTGCATCATCCTCGGCCAAGTCAAATCCAGTGCTTGGTGAACCTTTAGGACCTTTAACAAAACCACAGTTTATTTTCTGATCTCGAGCCAAAAATGATTCCTCCCGTTCTTTGAGAGATTGGTGTCCACCAAATCTAGCTGCCCATTCTTGATCCTCATTGGGCTTCTGTTCTTCTTCTGTATAGTGCAAGGAAAATCTTGCAAATTTTCGACTTTCTAATGGCTCTACCAGTGCAGAAGCATTCAAAATTTTCATGTCACAAGAACCTGCAATTTTTGTGTTCAACTGTTTAAATCCATACCATTAGCAGATATGCAGAGAAGATACGAGAAGTTGAGGCTTTCTTTGAACATATTAGCATGAAACCTTCAGTGAACTTTGTTTCATGTTTGAACCATTGAAAGGAAAGCACTGGGAAGATACATATTAGTTCTTCACCATGCAGAGTACTGGGTGTTGTCAAATATATGTTGATGGGCAAGTCAGACGGAGTGCATTAAACTAAACACACACACACACACACACACATATATATATATATATATATATATATATATGATATTCAATAAAAAATGGATGAAATGAAGCTTACTGCACTTTAGAAGAGATAAAACCTATATGATGCTACTCATGCAATTGGAATAGTATTGCAGTGAATTAGATATTTGTCTGACATTGACAAACTTTAACTGATATATTTATGCTGATTTCTAGATATTCATTCTCAATTTCGACATTAGATCATATTGATCATATTTTGAAATTTATGTGTAACTGAAAATGATTACTGGATTCATAAACCTTGATATTTAAATAGATCACAAGCAAGTGTAAACAAGCCATTACCAGAAAATTTGCGACGTTTTGACTTTTTCTTCGAACCGAATTGCCTTTCAGAAATTAACTTTTGGGTGGGCTGATCTTCATTAATACTCAAACTTCCAGAGTAATTGCGTTCACTAGAATGCTGAGTATCTGGTAGATATTCTTTTTTAGACAACTCATAGGAAGCTTCATGGGCCTCGTTCATATTGTCTTTCTTCTTCTTTCCAGCATGATACCGATCAGGAGAACTCCCAGTTTCAATAGTGGCAATAGTATGGTCCCTATCACCAAGTCTGGCATCATTGTATTCTTCCATGTGATCATCCTGCGAGTCCAAGCCATCATCATATTCATCAGAATCGTCTAGAGCTTCATGTTTCCTCCCAATGTCATCACCAGAAATAGAATGTTGATTTCTTTCACCACTTGCATCTTTGGACTTCCCAATACCCTTTGATGAGGCTTCATATTCAGATTCGTACAATTTCAATTCCTTACGTCCAGCCTCATTGTATAAGTCATTTCCTCGTTGACTCAAGATTTTATCAGATTTATCAACAAAAGACTTTATATTCTTGCTGCTAATTGCTGTGTGATCATTAACCTCAGAATCATCGTGGCGTGGTATCCATTTATCCTCATCATAGTCATTTTTTCTTCTCCCGTCATTTCGAGCCAAGTAGCGTGAATTCTCACCATGAGCAATTGATCCACGACCAAATTTAGGTTCCTTTGACTTTTGTGTCCTTGTCACATTTGTGAGGAAGTCAGTATCAATGCCCATGTCACCCACATTGTCATCTTGGACTTGTTGTCTATTTATTTCACCGCCTAAAGTTGCGAAAAATAGATAAGATAAAGAACCATCAAATGACTGGACCAACAGAAGTTTCTATTGATACGATGACTGAGAACTTAACATTACAGCAAGAAATAGATCTTCACTCTAATTCACAAAAATTTACTTCCTAGGCTTCAACAACCACAGATCAATTTCACACAGCCAGACAGAAATAAGTTAAAATCTGGAAAGAACACACTGCTGTCACCCACTGATAAATCTATGAATTACATCAACAAGTGATCGCACATAAGTTGTAGAGGATCAGCTGGAAAATCAAAATCAATCGGAAAATTGGCTATTGTTACATTACATATGATTCATAATACAAAAGATTTGAAACCTTGAAAACAGTGATCTGCATTCTACAATACAAACAAGGCTTGAAATCTAACATCAAAATATGCAATTAATTAAGAGATGTCAGCAACTGATAATTATGATTCAATACACAAAAGGTTGTTCTTTTGAAACCTTGAAAACAGTGATGAGCATTCTCCAAATCTCGATCAAATCAAGTCAAGAGATTTACAAAAAATGCTTCCATCAAAATATGCACTCAAAGAAAGAGATCACAGCAATCGCTTCTACTAAACAAGAAAGCTTTACCCTTTTATGAATAACTTCAAAAAACTAAAAAATAAAAAATAGTATTTTCTAATTAGGGTAAACATTAATCGCAATCAATGCAATAATCAACATAGTCAAAATTAGAATAAACATATACACATATATGTATCCGCTCCTCCTCGCTTTCCATTAACATATAATAGAAGCAAGCAATAAAAATCGCAAGGCAAAACTAGAGCTTAACGATAAATGCAGACATTCCGAATCTCCGTACCTTTAGTTTGCAAGGATAAATAGAAGAACGCCAACATAAATAGAATGAGAAAAAGCGCCAAAAGCCAGAATCCGAGGATAACCCTCCGGTAAAACGGTAGGTGTTTGGATCGCCGCAGGTGGAAGTGGCGGGAAGCCGAACGGACGCCGTGATCCAAGACGAGGCTGTTTCGGAAGCCATTAGCGCTGCCGCCGAACTGCCTGTATTGGGCCATCCCTGCAGCAGCATGAGACAGACGTAACTAAGCACGTGGAGCAGCAGGAGATTGGAGTTGAGTTTACAGAGGTTGGGGCATTCTGGACAAGAAGAGGGAGTAGATTCCGATTCGCCGGAGCGGAGGGGCGGAGGAAGAAAGGACGGGGGCCCGTAGCGTATGTATGTACGCCGTACCAATAAATGCAGGTAGAGATCGAACTTGGTTAATTACTGAAATACCCCCAGATTTCCAAATCCCACACTCTGACTGCGGATAATAAATAGCAGATAAATCTAAGGGACGAAATCCACCTACAAATACGCGCACACTGCTAATATTAATATTAATAGGCCATATCCAACCATCAATTCCATTTATCCCGTTTTAACTTCAAATATTCAATTGTTATAATAATTTTATTTTAATTATAATTTTATTTTTCACTATTATTCTTCAAATATTTAATTTTTCTTATTATTTTAAACAATTTTTTATTTCTATAATTTAAAATAAAATTTTAAAAAATAAAAATTAAATTTAAAAATCAAATTTATAATTTTAAAAATTAAAAAAATAAAATAAAAATAAAACGCACACTAAAAACAGCGTTTGCTAGCAAACACCAAAAATAGTGTAGCAATTGGCTCTAAATTGGAGTTTGCTGGCATTCAGACGTCATAATTGTGGTGTGATTGGAGATGCTCTTAATATGCATATTACTAACTCCATCTGCATCTTATAAAAGGGCTTGAAAAAGTGATAAATCAAATTAAACCAAAATTTGTTAGAATAATAAATAAGATAATAATAGAGATATGACTAGGATTAGTAAGAGTTGATAACAAATAACATAATCATAGGAATATGATTAGGCTTGACCAAGAGTTTGTTAGCATGATGTTGATTGGCTTGAGTACGATCAAAAGATTGTTATGAACAACCCGGAAGATAAGTCAGAACGTAATAGACACATATTGAATTGATACTGATTATATCTTCATTTTTAGGCCGTAAAGATTAACTTGTCTCAAAATTTTCGAAAAATATGCTTAATGGATAAGACATAATATAAATTGGAATATGTTGGAATGTCAATACTTATCCATAAAAGGTTATAATAAAGCTTATCATAATGCATTTGATAAGATTTGTTTTGAATTTTGAATAATTCTTTATTTAATCGGTAAGTTTTATATATATATATATATATATATATATTTCATACTATTTTTTAATTCGGCATTGTGTATATAAATAAGACCGTAGGTGTGTGATATTTCGTTTTAAATAAGAACAATCAATAAAAAGTAATTCAACCAATTCATATTCAAAATGTAGTATCTTTTTCGTATCGCGTCCTAGATAGTTTTATAGTTTAGTTAATCATTAATCCAACTTTAGACAAATATTCATCTCGCCATTGAAGCTCAAGCGCCTGCAACCATTTAGGCCAGCTTACTTTCTCGCCGTTGAAGTTCAGGCCAACCATTTTATTTTTTTGGATTCAGAAGGGATCCTTGGAGTACCTTATGCCAATATTATATCTAATCAATTATTATACATTAATTTTAGAATTTGATTAGATAATTAAGATTGATTGTTTTGCTGTAAAATATAGAATATTCTTTAATGTACCTATCCTATATATTTAGAATCATTTTGTTCAATGAAGAATATGAAAATTATTCTTGATTTGATATGGTATCAGAGCCCGATGGCTTCTTATCTCTATTTTTTTTCGTGTCCTTTTCATTTGGTTCTTTGTGAAATATTTTGTTTCTTTGATCTTAAGTTTATGGAGAAATCTAAATCCATTTGTGTCATACTTTCGGGGAAGAATTATTTTTCTGGAGAATTTCAGTTTCAAATTTATGTTCAAGGAAAAGAATTGCGGGGAATAATTGATGGAGCAGAAACACAACCTACTGATCCAATCAAGGCTACTGAGTGGAGAACGAAGGATGCTCGTGTCAAAATTTGGTTGTTACAGACCATGGATCCATCTTTGGCTGTCAATCTCAGACCTTATAAGACAACGAAAGTCATGTGGGATTATCTCAAGAAAGTTTATGGCCAAAGTAGCTCGGCGAGGCATTTTCAATTGGAATACAAAATGACTAATTTTTCTCAGGGAAACTTGTTCGTTCAAGATTATTATTTGGGTTTTATGGCATTGTGGACTGAATATACAAGCATTGTTTATGCGTCCGTTCCAGCAACTTCCTTGGAAGCTGTCAATACTCTTCACCAAACCAGTCAAATGGATCAATTTCTAATGAAACTCCGGCCATAGTTTGAAGTTTTAAGGTTAAAATTGTTGTTTAGACATCTTTCTATCTGTGGATGATTGTCGGAATGAACTAGAGTTTGAAGTTGTAAGATTAAATTTGTTGCTTAGAAAATCTTTTTCATCTATGGATGATTTTCTGAATGAACTACTTCGAGAATAATAGTGAATCCTGACACAAACTATGCTGGAACAAGAGAAATCTACCAATGTCCTCAATGTAGCATATACAACGCAGGGTAAACCACGATCATGAAATATGGCTAGTGTTCAATACTACAGTTGTAAAGAGTTCGGGCATATTGCGAGTCAATGTTCTAAAATTTTTGCAATTATTGCAAAGTGAAGGGACATCATTTCTGAATGTCGGAAGCGCCCATAAAATCGAAGTTCGAGTGCTTTTCATGCCACAACTTCCAACAGCATCATAACTGGAAAAGTTTTAGAGCAGTCTGCATCTTCTCTTACACAAGAGAATGTTCAATAGATGATTATTTTGGCCCTTTCAGCTATTGGACTTATTAGTAAAAATTAATTTAAGATCTTGTTTTTTGATTCGACTGCTTCAAATCATATGACATCATCATTTGATCACTTGCATAATGTCAAAAAATATGATGGTCAACTCAAAGTTGAGACTGTTAGTGAGGATCATATTCCAATCATTGCTACGGGTGATATTTCATCTTCTCCATCTATGAAGAATATTTTTGTTGCTCTTAATTTGTCTGCTAACTTGATTTCAATTGGACAATTAGTAGACGACAATCACAAGATTACTTTATCTTCTTTTGGTTGAGTCGTGCAGGAGCTGGAGTCGGGGAGGATAGTAGCTGAGGGACCTAAATGGGACAGACTTTTTCCACTCAATTTTAATAAATCATCCGAGCCTAGGAGTGTGTTTTTCTTTCTTTCCCATCCTATTCAACCTGTCCACAAGTACTGGCATATGAAGTTAGGACATCTAAATGATGGACATTGTCATTTATGTTGAAATTTGGCATGTTGGGACATAAATTGTCGTCTGATGATACTTATTTTGCTTGTTCTACTTGCAAATTAGTTAAAAGTAAGACACTTCCCTTTTTTTCCAACGATACCCGTGTCTCTCAATGTTTTGATTTAGTTTATAATGACGTTTGGGGAATTTCACCAATTGTTTCTCATGCCCAGTATAAGTATATTGTGACATTTATTGATGATTACAGCCGCTTTACATGGGTCTATTTTTTTAGACGCAAATTTGAGGTTTTTGAATCTTTCAAAACCTTTTTGGCCATGATTAAAAATCAGTTTTCCAAAAATATTAAGGTTTTGCATTCTGATTTGGGTGGGGAATATATGTCACAATACTTTCAAGAATTCCTTCAAAAAAATGGCATTATTTCTCAGAGAAGTTGCCCTTATACACCTCAGCAAAATAGGGTTGCCGAATGCAAAAGTTGGCACCTTCTTGACATGGTTCGATCCTCACTCATTGAGTCTTGTGTTCCACCGAAATTCTGAGTTGAAGCTTTGTCTACATTTGTTCATTTAATCAATCGTCTTCCTACCCCTACACTTGAAAACAACACACTGTATTCCATACTCTATCAAGAGCAACCGACATACCATCATCTTCATCCATTTGGATGTGTTTGATTTGTTATGCTTTTCTCAAGAACGCAATAAGCTCTCTCCACAGTCCGTCAAATGTGTCTTCCTTGGCTATGCTCCACGTCAAAAAGGCTAGATATGTTTTGATCTCATATCTTGTCGTGTTTCTCGTAATGTTGTGTTCTTTGATGATCAATATTTTTTCCTTTCACATGTTGTCCAGTCAAGAAATTCTACCCATTCTCTTCTTCCTGGCTTTGAGAATGTTCCTCTGACAAACCTAATGTCCTTTTATCTTCTATTACAAGATTTCACCCCAACTTTGTGTACACCTGGCGTAATCAGCGACATGATCAATCTGGAGTTTTGGTTTAGGAAATCTTGCCCCAACAATTTCATGAACCTACTTTGTCTTTCCCGTCACCAGCTGCCTTCAGGGATCCACCTTTAGTTAAGAGATCCACCCGCATCTCACGCCCCCAGAAAGGTATGGATTTTCTCCTGATAGATTTCATCATTATAAATCTATGGTTGCTACTCTTTCCTCGATGAAGATCCCAGGATCTTACTCAGGAGCAATGCAACATTAATGTTGGAAAGACGCTATTCAGGAAGAACTTAATGCCTTATAAAACAATCAAACTTGGGACATCGTCACTCGCCCTTCTAATATCACTCTCATTGGATGCAAATGGGTCTTTTCAGTCAAATTAAAGTCTGACGGATCACTTGAACAATGTAAGGCTCATCTAGTTGCTTTTGAAAATCGCCAAGAATATGGAGTTGATTATGATGAAACATTTGCTCCAGTTGCCAAAATGACTATTGTTCGTACAATTTTGGCTCCCCATCTTCTCAGAACTGACCTCAACATCAAATGGATGTGAAAAATGCATTCCGTCATGGGAATTTAATTGAGAATATTTATATGCGTTCTCCATCTGGTTTGACAGTTGTTGCACATATGGTATGCCACTTAAAACGTTCATTGTATGGTCTTAAACAAGCTCATCGTGCATGGTTTGAAAAGTTAAAAACAACGTTGCACGATTTAGGTTTTGTGCAAAGTCATTATGATCACTCTTGGTTTAAATATCAAAGTGCTTATGGGATGGTTCTTTTGCTTGTTTATGTTGACGATACCTTGATTACTTGTTTTGAGATTTACAAAATTCATGAGTTGAAGATATCTTTGAATGACTTTCCGCATGAAAGACTTGAGACCTCTTTCATTTTTTTTGGGCCTAGAAGTTCTTAGAAGTGAGAAAGGAATTTTCATAAATCAGCATAAGTATCTCAGGGATATTATTCAATTGGCTGGATTAGAAAATAGTACACTTGTTGATAACTCCAAATAGGAGCATATTCT